CATTTGTAATGGAATTACTGACAAATAGACTAATGTCAGCACTCATTATTGTATCAGGTTTACGTGTATACTAAAAATAAAAATAAATGTTGTTTAAGCAAAATCTAACTATTGATAGACTCCTGATATTACGGGGCCCCTAAAACCGCCGAGCCCCTAAAACCTATATATCTATTGTTATACTACTGGTATACTACTGCTACACTATTACTGTATTTACTCTCTATCATTCTATACATATTTTATTATATATATATATATATATATATACATAATAGATGCTCGCACGCACACACGCGCACTCACGCACGCTCGCACACGCGCACACGCACACGCACACACACACGCGCACGCACACGCACGCGCACATAATAAACGCATAACATAACATAATAATACATGCACCTAAAGATTCTATAAAGATGAAAGCGCTTGTGTAAAACTAAATGTCGCTTCTTTTTTTTATCTATAACAACTGAATATTGTGCAACTTTATTATTATTTATTTATAAAATCTTTATTGCATGAATTCAGATACAAATACATGTACTGACGACACTTTTTTTCATGGAGAAAAAATCTGATAAAAGCAATAGTATTGAGTAGTTGAAATGATTAAAATTTCTGACGGATACAGTACAATTACAATGCTATACAACATGAAGAAAAAATATATACACAAAAAACTTCAGCATATTCTGTACTAGTAAAGTAATTAAGACAACATGAAGGAAAAAATAGATACCAGAAAAAAAACGTCAGCATAGTCTATACTAGTAAAGTGATTAAGGTACACTTTAACATCATTTTGTCACTCATACGTACACCGTTATATACATATTACACAAACATACGCACACATACAAACACTTATATTTATATAAATATGGACATACTGATAAATGCACTAGTGTAACTGTTGAGTAGTTAAAGTGATAGATCTTCTGAGTGATACAGTACAAAACAGTGCATACGACATGAAGAAAAAATAGAAACCAGAAAAAAAACTTCAGCAAAGTCTGTACAACGTCAAGTAAAGTAATTAAGGTGCACTTTAACATCTTTTGACACTCATACGTACACCATTATATACATATGACATACATTACATATTTCATACACATACGCGCGCACACACACACACTTACATTTAATTAAATAAATATAAACACACTGATAAATGCAAGTGTCGAGTAGTTAAAATTATAAATTTTC